ATGATAACAGTTTAATAGTGACCAAATAGCATAGAAAAATAGAGTGAAACACGCTCTATCTATTGGTAAAAAAGAAATTTTTTTTTTACCCCGCTTCAAGGAAAAAAAGTACCTCCCTCACTACTTTTGGTATGCCCTAAGTAAGTCCTCGTTCAAAATCTGTTGTACTCAACTGATATTTATACTGAGAAGGTAGATGATTAGTAAAAGTATTAAACAGAAACTTTATCCAATTTATTTTTCATTATATTTTTATCTTAAATATGTAAAATAAAAACAACGTCTAAACTTATTTTAGCTTTAGATTTTATAAGAACATAAAAGGACAAAAATGAATTACATGATCCTCTCATCGTAAGAAAAAAATGAGTAGAAAATAAAATCGATAAAAAGATTTTCGCATGTTTTCTAATAATGTATTTTCTTAATAATGATATCAGTTGAGAGTATAGTTAATTTTTGATCATAGTTCAGACTTCCGAATATATACATTTTGTATGTCTGTTCAACTTTTATGTATTCGACACAATAGAAAAAAATACTCAAAATAGCAAAAAATCTATGAAACAATCTTCATATATAGAGCGTGCAATAGTTCAATGAACCTCGTAAACGTAGAATAATTTTTACTGTGTATCTTTACATCTTAGTAAACGTTCCATTTTTTTAAATTGAATACATCCGTAGAGAGAACAATAACATATTCCATAGATCGGCATGCGTTACTTGAAATATAATTTAGATGAATTTTTAGTTATATCAACCTTGTTACCACCTTGTAAAACATGACTTATTGTAGTTAAATGAAGAATAGGAACACTCATATCCACTCACACTCATATTAGGTCAAATATTTAGCATCAACATTCTAATAAGATGCAAATAACACCTGAGCATTTTTTCAGCTTTGGAATCTGACACAATTCTTTATTTTTTAGCAAAAATTCTTGTCTCGAATTCATAGACATCCTTCTAGCATTTCCAGACGATGCTTTGTATCAAATCTTATCGAAACTCTGATAATATCTTACCGTTATCCTTTTGACTTTTCTGAGTGAGCCTCTGCTTTCCAAATTACAAAAAGAATATCTTCAGCTCGTGCCTGTAGAAAGCTAACCAAGTCCTTATCTTTTCCTATGGAGAGCGCTGATAACATTAACATTAGTCTTCTGAGTATTTCAAAAAGTAGAAGGCGTCAGATTCCAAAGATTTCCATAGAGTCCTGTCAAATTTACTCAGATTTGCATACATACGTACCTTCTTATGATCCTGCTAAGATCCTATCAACATATTGAATACTTAAGATTCCCCAAAAACATAAGGATTAGGCTTGACATTTCTGGTCCAATGATTCGACATCCTTCTAACAAGATGTAGATAGAACCTTTTAAGGATTTTTACAGTTTAGGAGTTTCACATAGTTCATTATTTTATTCCTTAAATTCTTGTCTGATGTTCATATAAATGATCATTCTGCAAAAGACTCTGGATTCAAAATTATGAATCAAATTCTCAGATTCCTATTTTTTTTCCTATCGAAAGCTTGCATTCCGTAAGCACTGCTCATTCTCGGAAAGCTTCCTTACACCGATCTCTCGTTACAGTTTTCATCCACCGCGAGAATTCTACATTTTAGGATCTACACGATGTTGGCAAACTCTAGAAGTGACATAGATGTAAGAATTGTTATGAAATTCTTTTTTTTCATAGGAAACTAGGAAAAGACTTCGAAATTTTTATGTGTGGAAAGAACATTCTCGAAGGTGAATGTCGTATTTGTAGCTCTTACTCACACGGGAGAGGGGATCTTTTCGACAATCACGATGACGTTTCTTTTTCTTTTCCGTTTCTTGTAGTGATTCCCAATATTCCAGTCAATGCCCGTTGAGCACTGATCCAGATCGATATTTGTGTGCCAAGCAGAGATCGCCAACTTTCCTATGTCCCGCTCCAATTACACACACAACTACAGTCCTATTTTCTGAACTCCCACTCCTATTGGATATTTCTTTATAGGCTTTCGCATGAAACCCAGAAATGGGCAACTCAACTCCTATTTTCCGAAATTCCACTCGAACTCCAGTGAGAAAAAGCACCAACTTCGGAGTTGGAGTTATCTATCACTACTATCAACGATTCCTAAATCCTGATTCTTGACATCCTCGTGACCATATGCGTGACATGTTAACTTCAAGAAGGCTTCTCAGAACAAATAGTACATAAGAACTATCGCATAATTCTGATAGAATATACTCGTAATTTTTAGAATTTTAGATTTTGACAGAGTATATTATTTAGTCATTAAGATTTTCCTTTAAGATTCTAATACATAGTTTGCAGCTAATTTTCAGGAAAAATTAATAATAGCTTTGTAGAACACTATCTGACTATTCCATTCTGACCCACCCTTCAGCATCTCAACAGTAGACGGCATCAGTTTCTAAAGATCTGCGTGAAATTGTCTCAAATTCACTCAGTTTCGTATGCATCAAACCTTCAATAGGATCTAACTAAGATTCTATCAGGATCGTTCTTCGAGGAGCTTGACATAATTTGACAAAAGCTTGATAAAATCTCATCTGCATCTGCCATTCCAATGTTTAGGATACCCTTCAACAGGTTTGCATTCCTCATCCATAAAATTATGTGATCTGGATTTGTGTTGAACTACGTGAAAAGCATCCTCAAAGATGCATACTGAATCCTTAAGGTTCCCCAAAAACAGAGGGATTAGGTTTGACATTTGTTGTTCAACGATTCAGCATTCTTCTAACAAGATGCAAATAGAATCTTCTCAGGATTTTTCTCAGTTTAGGAGTTTCACATAGTTCATTATTTCATTACTTAAATTCTTGTCTGATATTCATATAAATGATCATCCTACAAAAGATTCTGCATTCTCGCAACTCCGAATAAAATCCTCAGATCTCTATGTTTTTCTATTAAAAGCTTACATGGAATTAGCATTACTCTTTCTTGGACAAATCTCCTTACAGCATTCTCCAGGTGTTGTTATTAGGATCAAAAAGATTTTGACAAGAACTCAAAGTGACATAGGTGTAAGAATTGTTACGAAATCCTTTTTTCTCATAGGAAACTAGGAAAAGCCTTCTGACTTTTTATCTGAGGAAAGAACATTCTCGAAAGTTTTACTAAATTCCCTTCAAAGAAGACGGATATCTCCTTTATAGCTCTTTTCCCCGCGTGAGAGAGAGGGTCTCTTCGACAATGACGATCGCTTTTCTTTTTTGTTCATTGTAGTAATTCCCAATATTCCAGAGAAGGTGTCATGGATGCTGATTAGGATCGACATTTGTCTATTAAAAAGAGATGAGCAACTACACTATGTCCCGCTCCAACTCCACATAACTCCAGTCCTATTTTCTAAAACTCCACATCAATTTCAACTACAGTATGTTTCGCTCCAACCCCATATCACTCTACTCCTTTTTTTCTAAAATCTTACTCCAACTCCAATTTAACTTCAATTCGAGTCGGATTTTACAAAACTGAACTTCTGCCAAAACACTCTTAAATACACATAAGTTTGTGAACATAATTAAATCTACGATTGATATAAATTAGTAGCATATTAATTTATTGCTTTATAAACTTTCTCATAAAATTTAAAGTTAGGCACCTCCATTCTGTTCTGTTCCTACTCCATTTTCACTCTGATGAGAAAAAGCATCAACTTCGGAGTTGGAATTACCCATCTCTGATATCAACCATTCAAAAATACTTACTCTTCAGATCTTTCTGAACATATCTATAACATGCGAGCTTACAGAAGGGTTCTGAGAATAAGTACTACATAAGAATTGTAGCATGATCTTCATAGAAGATACTCATTATTTTTAGATTTTCAGATTTTGCCAGAGTATCTTATTTAGTCACCAAGATTCTCTTCGGGAATCCTTATACAATGGTCTCAAGATGGTTTTTATCAAAAGTTAATAATAGCATTTTAGAACACTTTCTGCCTATCCCATTATGACCGCCTCTTTCAAAGTCCATAAAATTCATAGATCCAAACGTTTGTCACTGGAGAGCTCCGTTCAGATTGGCATCCATCTTTTCAGCATTTGCAAAAGAAGACGTACCTTCAGATTACATAGATTCGCGTGGAATCCTCTCAACTTTGTTCAGTTTCGACTGTATCTAAGTCTTCTCATGATCTTACTCAGAGTACATCACGGTTGTTCTTCGAACAGCTTGACATAACTGACCAAAAGTCTTATAAAATTTCACCCACATTCTCTATGCAAATACTTAGGAGATTCTTCGGCAGATCTACATTCATCATACAGAAAATTATGTATCCTTAAGGTTTTCTCAAAAACATAGAGATTAGGTTTGATATTTTGTTGATCAACGATTCGATATTCTTCTCACAAGATACAGATAGAATCTTCTCTGATGTTCATATAAATGATCATTCGACAAAAAGATTCTGCATTCTTGTAATTCTGAATAAAATCCTCAGATCCCTATGTTTTTCTATCAAAAGCTTTCATAGAATTATCATTACTCTTTCTTCGAGGACCTTCTTACAGCAATCTCCAGATGTTGTTTTTAGGGTCAAAAAGACCTTGGCAAAAACTAAAAATGACATAGATGTAAGAATTGTTACCAAATTCTTTTTTCTCATAGAAAACTAGGAAAAGACTTCTGAATTTGTATCTGTGAAATGAGTATTCTCAAAGACGAATGTCGTATTTGTAGCGCTTACTCCCACGAGAGACGAGATCCCTTCGACAACGACGATTTCTTTTCTTTTTTGTACATTGTAGTAATTCCTAATATTCCAGTTGATGCCCGATGGGCACAGAATGGAGTGACCGTTGCTGGAGGTCATGGAGAGGGCAGTACCACCAATCAACTCTCTGGGCCTGAGGGTCTCTTCGTTGATGATGATCAAACGATGATCATTGCTGACTTCGCGAATCATCGTGTCGTTCAATGGAAGATGGGTGATAAGCGTGGGCAAGTTGTAGCTGGTGGCAATGGTCAAGGAAATCGATTAGATCAATTGAATCGACCAAGTGATGTGCTGATCGACAAAGAGACTGATGGTTTCATTATATGTGATGGAGACAATCGACGAGTCGTACGATGGTCTCGTCATAGTAACACAACTCAAGGAGAAATCCTCATCAACAACACCCGTTGTTGGGGATTGGCCATGGATCATCAGAGATATCTTTACATCTCTGACCTCGACAAACGTGAAGTAAGACGATATCAAATAGGAGACAAGAATGGAACTCTCGTGGCTGGTGGCAATGGCAAAGGTGCTGGTGTCAATCAACTCGATGAGCCGACCTACATCTTTGTCGATCAACAACAGGCTGTCTACGTGTCGGATGATTACAATCATCGTGTGATGAAATGGAATAAAGATGCAAAAGAAGGAATTGCCGTCGCTGGAAATCAAAGCGAAGGAAATGCTCTAACAAAATTGTCGTATCCTAATGGACTCTTCGTCGATACATTGGGTACCATCTATGTGGCAGACACGAGGAATCGTCGAGTGATGCGTTGGGCTAAAGGAGCGAAACAAGGCACTGTCATTGTGGGTGGAAATGGTGGAGGAAAAGGAGCAAATCAGCTCAACGATCCCGTCGGTTTGTCCTTCGATCGGCATGGCAATCTCTATGTCGTCGATTATGGAAATCATCGTGTTCAACGCTTTTTAATCGAATAGACTCATCGTGATAGATTTTTTTTCTTTTCTTTCTTTTCAAATAAATCACATTGAATTGATGGAATGAATGTCTATTCTATTCGCGCGCGCGCGACCAGGAACCATCCTGGTGAAGCCGTGGCGAGCGTAACGCTCATACATGCACAGGACAGACTCATATCATTCATACCCTCCCCGCGAGAGATATGTCAATGAGTCTGAATAAGCCTGGTCGGGTGCCACGGACACCAAGATAGTTCCTGGCCGATGTTTTAGGTCTCAGTCCGGAAGACCTGATAGATAACAGGGGTCTAACCTCAACTAACATGACTCACGTCCTACTTCTCACTAACACTCACCCTATTCTCATCTCAAAAAAAAATACTCACTCATTCATTGATGTTGTTGTTGATGATGATGAGGTGATGATATGAAAGACTAAAAGAAAAAAATATCTAATTAATGATATCAGTATAGAAAAGAGAAGAATAACTTACCCTCACTGTTATCTGTTTTGTTGACTTTTTAATATCTGAAATAGAAAAAGAAATACATTTAAACAATTGTTTTACTTACTTGAAATAAATTTTTCATCTAAAACGAAAGAAGAAATCAAAGGCAAAAAACAGGTACTTACCATCACAAATTTGTTCTTGTCGATCTAAATGGAAAGAAAAAAAAATTGATTGAAAAAAGTTGTACTTACTTTAAAAAAGACTAAAAGAAAAAAAAACATTAATAAAAAGATCAAAAGAAGCCTTACCAACTATCCTTATAATCTTATAACAACAACATAAAAAGAAAAAGAAAAAGAAAAAAGACAACTGATACCTACATTTTATATTATTGATTTGTTTTCTGTTGCCTTGTTCCATATTGTGCCGTTGAGGTGAATCTAAAACATAAAAGAAAAATATTATTTATTTGATTCAAAACTTTGAATAATCTTTAGGTGAAAAATCATTCTTATTTATACCTTAGAAAACATTTTTTTTTCTTGAGCGAGAAAATATTTATTATTTTTTTTCTCGTCAGAAAATAATTAGACGTCGATTTCAATTAAGCTTTAATCGCGACACACACATACATTGAAATATATTCGATCACAAATATTTCAATGTATATGTGTGGATAAAGCTTAATTTTTTTTCACACATTAATTGTACATGTTATCATTGATGATCGATGATAACATGAATGACGACTTATTGACGCAAGAAGACAAAAAGAAAAATTCCTCTCTTGACCTTTTTCTTTTTTCTTTTTCTCTCTCTCTCTCACACACACATGTTCAATAGGCATACAGAGTAGACGAATATACACTCACATGTAAGGGATGCTGTCATTTTTTTATGTTATTCTTTTAATATATTTTCTTTTAATCAAATGAAATTTATTATTATTTTTTTATTTCAAGAAATGAAATAAATGAGTGTATCATTAAGACAAGTAAGTGTTTCAAATGAGAATTTCTTATAATTAAAGTAAAAGATTCAGAAAATTTCGACTCATTTAACAACTCATAAAGGAATCGGAAATGCGTGTGCTCCATAAAGTTCTGGTCTACTAGTGAAACTCATCGTGATATCTCATTAGTATCAGTAATAGCCAGAAGAGAAGATACCGTACCAGCAATTAGTGTTTTGATAGAAAGATTATTTTGCTTAGCTGGATTGACATTTACTCAATGACGAACACATTTATCATCAAGTTAAAACATTCAAATATATTACTTATTCTTATCGTCTATCTGTTGAAACTGATTACATTTTGAATAATTGATATTTTAAGTTTGTTTCATTCAGATTATGAGATAGCCCGGCTACCGAGTATTTTGATTCGTTTTTTCTTTGTTTTGACTGAATTGATATATCAAATCATGAGAGAAACGGACAAAATAAGAACTATTGTTTGGTTCAATGAGCATAGTTATGAGAAAAGTATTAAAGTAATTCAAAACTAACTGCATTGAAGCCCGAATGAAAATTTAATAGATGAACAATTCATACAATTGTGCAGAATTCTATAACCATCTCTAACCTTATCAAGATAATATAGAATACAAAAGTCTTGATACTAATTATTCCTTTATGTATTGCTGAGTTAAACTTGCATTAATTAATGCTTGTACAGAACAAAATCAGTATTTTTATCATTCATAACTTGTCTAAATTAGTGATGCAACAGGGTCTGGGTGTGGGTGAGGGCGTTGATCTCTTGTTTCGTACCCACACCCACACCCAACCATACCCATACCCACACCCACACCCAACCATACCCATACCCACACCCACACCCACCACACCCACACCCCACCCACACCCACACCCTCACACCCACACCCACCCACACCCACACACCCACACACCCACCACACCCACACGCACACCCCACCCCACACCCACACCCACACCCTCACACCCACCACACCCACCCACACCCATACCCCAGTAAAATTATATCCTGATAAACAGGGTAAACGAAAAAAGAAATCTGAAGGATCTATTAATATCAATCCAATTGGAGATGAAACAGGTAAACAAAAATATCTTTTTTAATAACTACTGAAAAAGTATTGATATATATATATATATCTCGAATACTATATCACTTCGATAGACAAACAATGAAATTAGATACTTATGAACAAAAAGATATGAAAAGGAAGAGGAACAATTGCTTGAATATATTTTACATATCATAGAAATTAATATATAGTTATCGATTAGATAATTTATTCAAAGTCTATTATAAATCATTCATTAAAATATATACTAAGTAAGGGATCATCTCTAAAAGACGTCGAACCATCTTTTAGGACGTCCGCTGTATGCGGCTGGACCTCCTCTGCCGTAGTGGACAGCCAAGACACAAAATCATTTTTTGAAGTTTGAACTTAAGTTGTCGCTGGCATTAAAGCTTTTATGGATCTGCATTTAACTGCACCTTGGATTCTGATTGCAAACGAGTAGTCATCTTATAGCATCTAATACCAAGTAGGTAAAATACGCAAACATCACTTGTAAGATCCTACAAGTAAAGCTTATGTTTAAAATTAAAGTTCTAATTATATTCGTTAGATATTATATACAGTGGACGTCATAAGTCTCGCACCACTTTTTTGTTTTGAGTAGTGCATTTAGACTATACAACCTTAACTTAATTTGATTATATATTCTTGTAGCACAGATCGAGTACTATCTGTATATATCTGTTTCATACGGAAAGCTCTTGAATATAAAGTACAATAGACACAACAAACTTTATTCCTACGAAAAAAAAATGACACAAAAAAAGACAAAGTGATAATTAACGTGTTTGGAAGAATTCTTGTTCACAATAGAAATTTGTTTATACACCATTTGTAGAGCTTTTTACGCTGCATATTTTGAAAGAAAAATCAAGGTGCTATCACTTTCTCAAGTCGAGATATATGCAAAATATGAAAGTCTTTCGATCATTTTTATTAGATGGAAAGTAGCACTGTTATGTACTTTTTTCATTTCGAGTGCAAAAGAAATCATCAGTATAGACGTAGGTAAAGTTAGCACCATATTCGAGTTTTTTGCGTCCCGATTCGCTTTTCGACTTGGGTTGGCTCTCTACTTGGCTGGGTTATATGTAGAATTAAATTCTGCATCGAATGGTACCATCTTTAACCCGGGTCATTGAGCAAAAAATTCATTTTCACCCAAAATACTGACTTTTTTG